AGCCAGTGTTTGTAACCCAGCACATGAGACTATTCCGAAGGCGCGCAGAGCCGTGCAGAGGCTAACACAGCTGCGGGCACTAGAAACAGGACAAAACCACCCTCCTAAGATGGAGGGAGCGGAGGGGTGGGGACGGAACAGCAGTGCACCTGTTAAAAATCTGCAGTCATTTCAAAGTGGGGGTCTTTTTCTTGACACTTTCAGAAAGATAACTTATCAGGTTAAGCTCAACTCTTCAGGAACACCAACAATCACCAGGTAATCCAGTTACGGGACAGTGTGCGAGGTAAGCACACAGCAAGTAATGATGGCAGAATGGTATGGGCAAAGGTGGGTGGGAGGGGCATGGTAGGGAAGTTCCTGCATGCTTGTGATTAAAGGAAGAAGCACTCCAATTCTCCTCAGTTTGACTTTTTGATTGCTTCTTTTAAATTTCATTTTCTTTCTTTTTTTTTAACATTTTGATTAATTTCAGACAGAGGAAAAGAGAGAAACATAAATGAGAGAGAATCACCTACTGGCTGACTCCTGCAGACCCCGTCCTGGGGATCAAACCCACAACCTTGGCATGTGCCCTGATGAGAATGGAACCAGTGACCTTCTGGTTCATAGGTCATACTCAACCACTGAGCAACACGAGCCAGGCTAATTTCACATTCTCTCCCAGTTGGCCGATGATTACAAATGTCATTTGCTTTCCTATGTGCCTTAGGAGTAGGGCAGGTTTTTTTTATAAATGTTTGTTCTGAGTGTTGACTGGGAGGCTACTTCGTTGCAGTTTAAGATCTCTGGAAAGTTAATTAATAAAAGACACCATGTTCTGATAACTAAAAAGGCTTATATAAGTTCTGATTCCAATGAAACTGCACACATCTTTACGAAAGGGTTCTAGCAAATCCTTACTAAACTTTCTTTTCATAAAACAAGCTCATGTGCTCTGATGCAAACCATATGAGAACAGCATTTTCTTTTCATACTACAGGAAAGTTATTTGCAAAGAAATCTGAGAGATGATAGGGAGTGGTGGTAATATAAATTCATTTTGAAACTGAAAAAGTCTTATGTAATGTCTGTGATCAAAGGTCAGCATCTTTCGACATTCTCGTATGAGTCCGATTTGGATAAAAATCAACTCAAGTATAACTTAGAAAAATAACAGGATATCAAACAATGTGTTAACCCTGTGAGACACAGGTCTACCTTACAAAAACAAGAGATGAATATTAAAGGAAACTTCAATTACATTGTTTCTGTCACATTTTGAACTGAATCCCAGTGTGCTCTCATTCCTCAATACAAATTAAAAATAAACAACTTTTAACAGCATCGATGCCATCTGGATTACAATGGAAATGATGAAGTATGTGTGATTTTAGCTCGGGTAAAAATAAAGGCCAGGCAGCATGACCGCACCTTTTCCACTGCGTGCTGCAATCGCAGTCACGTCTGGGAACTGGCTCCGGACCGCGGCAAGGTCAACTCGAAATATCCACTCAGCTGGTGAGTCAGGCACATTGCTCAACGGGAAAGGGCTCGGACAAAGGGTTTGAACTTGCAGGCTGTTGCATCACAGTCATGTTATAATTGCACTTTGCAGAGATAAGCCTTTAACACAGAAAAGGAAATTGCTTCAAAAATTACAATGAGCTTGTGCTCACGCTCGGGGAAGAGCTCAGGGGTGCTGTGCTGCCAGCGGCCTCCCCATCCCGCTTTCAGGTGCTCATTACTCTCGTGCCTCCACCTCCGGACCCACGGAACGGGGCTGGTCACCCAACACTCAGCTCAGTGCCCGGCACGCGCAGGCCAGGGCTTAGGGCAGTGGTCAGCAAACTCATCAGTCAACAGAGCCAAATATCCACAGGACAACGACTGAAATTTCTTTTGAGAGCCACGTTTTTTAAACTTAAACTTCTTCTAACGCCACTTCTTCAAAATAGACTCGCCCAGGCCATGGTGTTTTGTGGAAGAGCCACACTCAAGGGGCCAATGAGCTGCAGTTTGCCAACCACAGATTTAGGGGATGACCTCAGTTCTGAGGAGTGGGCAGTACCATGATGAGGGTTAGTTCCAGGCCTTCTTCGCCCTCTGGTTCTGAGTGGAAAGCTGCCCGGTGTCACAGATTCAGGACTTCAACCTATGGCCGCCTCCCTCCCTCTCAGACCCCAGGCCTAGGATTTTAGATGCAGACACTCCAGGCCAACGGGGCGGCCAGGGAGGTCAGGAGACCTGAGCACCCTCTGGTCTGACAGTTCCCGCACACTGGCCCAGGGCTGGGAATCCGGAGTCCTGCCATCCTGCCATCCTGCCAGGAACTCCCTTCAAACTCCATCACCTGGGGCGCCATGGCAAAGGGTTTGAGGAAAAGGTTAATCATGATTAGAACAAAAAAGTGTTTCTAGAAGGATCTCTAACTATATAGGCTCAGCACAAACTTCAGTCCTTATTGTTATCACGCAGAGGCTCAAGCAGGGGAATAAGAAAGGCCAATACCTTTATTGGCAAAAAGGATCGCCTGGTTCCCGGTCAGTGACACAGGAAGCACTTCCCGGGCCTCCACAGCTGCCCACCCCTCCGGCCACCCCGGCCCCGGCCCCGGAGCCAGGCTGGGCCGCGGCCCGGCTACTGGCCTTTCACAAAGGAGTACTCTGCTTCGGCGTCTGGCATTGGGGGCTGGGGGGGGGGGGGGGGTGTGGAGGACAGGCCGAGTTCTGGGAGCCAGTGGTTATGGGGGCGCTGAGTGGGGGCTGCCAGAGCCGGGCTGCACTCACACCTCCCGGCCAGACCCTCACGGCGGAGGCGGCCATAGGTTTGGGGGGCCCAGCTCTCCGCCCACTGGAAACACAACGCGGCTCCGGAACAAAGGTGTCCGGGGCTCCGCGCGGGGCCAATCGGGCCTCCGGGGCGCCGCCCCCTCCCCGCACCCCGGCCCAGGGCGCCCTCCGCCCGCACCCCGTCCCGCGGTCCCCCGCGCCCGGGCGCCGCGCCCCCGGACCCGCCCCGCGGTGGGCGGGCAGCGGGGCCCCAGCGCCCGGACCCGCAGAACAAAGGAATGCGGGGCCGCGGGCGGCGCAGGCCCCGCACGGAGCGCCGCCCGGTGCCGGTGCCCGCCCCACCGACCACCCCGGCCCCGGAGCCAGGGTCGCGCTGGAAGGCCGCCGGGGAAGGGCCAGCGGCCCCTGCAGGCCAGGCCGGCCCCAGCCCCGGCCCCCGGCCCCCGGCCCCCGGCCCCCGGCCCTGCCCCCGCCCTCCGGACCCCACCCCCGCCCTCCGATCCCGGCCCCGGCCCCAGACCCCCGGACCCTGGCCCCCGGCCCCCGCCCCAGAGCAGGTCGGCCTGACCCGGGAGCCGCAACAGCTTCAGGAAAGCGGCTGCAGTATTTGGGGTGATATAATTTGTGATATAATTGTTCCGGCGGTGAGGCTTTATAATACACCCCAAAGCCACCACGACGCGGCACTTTTAATGATTTAAACATTAGGAAAACCTGACAGGTACACACCATCACATACATACACATTACACATTAAGAGCTCAGGAATAAACCTACAATCTGGCACATCACAGTATAGTCATCTCTCCTCACATACACAGGCAAAAATACCACCTACTCATTTACATTTGTTTCCCACAAATCCTATCTGGTCCGGAGAAGAAACACGAGTGAAACAAACACGTGGGGACCCTCGGCGGCTGCTTTCACAAACCCGGGCCGGGGAGACCGGCCCCGCTCCGCGGAGCAGCCTGCCCGCCCGCCCTTCGAGGGCCCGGGAGGACCGGCGCCGGCTCCGGAAAGGTCTCCCTTCGGAAAACCCCCGGCGGGCCCCCGGGCGGGCCGAGCCGCCCAGAAACGGCCGGGCGCGGCGGAGCTCCGAGGCGGCCAAATTTAGGACGCGCGTCCGCGCAGGGAGAGACCGCGCCGGGCGGCGGAGGCAGGCTGGGCGCTGGCCCCGTGGTCTATTTTCCCGGGAAATCTGACCCTAAAACACGTCCCCGTGCCGGTTAGCCGGAGACTGCCCCACTTTCTTTGTAACAAGATTATAAAATCGCGTAACTAGCTCCCTTCCCATGCTCGCTGCCAGCACGTTCGGCAGTTACATAAGCAGCATTTCCAGGAAACTTGTGCGCCCGTCACGCCGGTCCGAACGGCGACAGCGCGGGCAGGGCGGCTGGTCTAAGGCATTCACATTGGGAGGGGCGGGAGCAACGTCACGGACTTAAAAATAACAGCTCCGCCGCCAGGAGCGGACCCGGGATCCGAGCTCAGCGTTCACCCGGGGAGGCCGGCCTTCCGCGTTTTGTAGGAAGGTTTTAAGAGGAGGCTCCTCACTGGGGACGGACCACCGTGTGAGCACCGATCTGACACTCCGGCCGCGCGAAGGTCCCCGATCGCGGCGCACGGACGCGGGTCGCGGGCCCGCACCCGGCGGTCCCCGAGGCGGGGGCCACGCCGACGGCAACGCGGAGGGAACGTCCGCGCTCGCACCGCCCGGACAGACACAGACGCGGCCGTCACCGCCCCCCACAGCCTCTCCCAACGAGAACACCCACCGCCTCCCTCACCCAGAACACCCACCGCCCTTCCCGACCAGAAAACCCAGATTCCCGTCCCCGCCGCCCCCGCCCCCGCCGCCCCGCGGGGCGAGGAGAAAGGCAGGCGCGGCCCTTCCCGCTCCAGAGGGCTCAGCCCCGCTGCCGCTCCGCTCTCTCCACCAAAACACCAATTTTCCCGAAATCAGAGCCATTATGCAACCGCGGCGGGAGGTGGGGGCGGGGAGCGCGAGCCGGCGGGTCTACGTGCGGCGCGAGGCGCTGCCATCAGAGCGGCCACCTCAGGGCGGCGAGCCCCGCCGCTGGCCGGGCAGCCGAAGTTTACATAACCGACGCCCCGCGCACACTGGCCGCCGCCGGCCCCCGCGCCCAGCCCGGCCCCCGCCCGCGCCCGGCGCCCCGAGGAGCCGGGAGCCCGGAGCCGGCCGGCCGGAGTGGGCGGAGCGCTTACCGTGTTCGTTCCAGCTCTCGGGCCGGCGAGCCGGCCGGCGGGGAGAGAAGCCGGGCGGGAGCGGGCCGGCGGCTGGGCTCGGGCTGGGCCGGGCTCCGGGCGGCGGCGAGGGCGCGGCTGGGAGGCGGCGGGCGGCGGGCGCGGGGCCGCGCCGGGATGTGTGTTAGTAGGTCAGTGCCGAGCGCAGCTACGTCGCCGCCGCTGGCCCCTCCGTGACGGCGCCCGCGCCCCAATCGCCGAGCCCGCACCGCCCCCGCCTATAGCCAATGGCCGCGCCCGCACCGCCCCCCGCCCGCCGCCTATAGCCAATGGCCGCGCCCTCCCCCGCCCCCCGCCTGTAGCCAATGGCCGCGGCCGGCGGGGCGGGCTCTCGGAGGCCACGCCCCCCCGCGCCCTCCCTCTCCACAGCCCTGGCTGCCGGGTGCCGGGAGGACCCCCACGCCGCGTTGCGCAACCGCCAGTTCTGCCGCCGGAGACCGCAGCCCTCCGCGCCCCGGCAGCCGCCGCTTCCCTTCCTCTCCCGCCGCCACGGCCCCTCGATGGCCCTGCGACCCCGGCCCCAGCGGAAGCCTTCGTCCCCGCGCGCAGCCGCCGGGCTACCTGTTGCCGCCGGCCAGGCCGCGGCCGCGGCGGAGCGCTCCGGGCCTTTCCCCGCGCTCGGGGGGGACCCACCTCCTGGAGGAGGGCGGCGGGGGGACAGGCGGGGGCTGGGGCGCCGGCGAGCTGCCGACCCTCGCGGGGGCGGGCGGGGGCGGGGCCGGGCGGCGGGCCGAGCCCGCGGGCTGCGTAGGCGGCGGTCGCGCTGCCCAGCGCCTCTCCCCCCCTCTCCCCGGGGAGGGAGCGCGGCCCGCAGGCACAGCCCGCACTCCGGGCGCAGCGGCCTCGGAGGGCCTGTCAGGGCCTGGCGGAGGGGCCCTCTCCGGGCCCGGCCGGTGCTGCGCCGCCGCGCCGCCGGCCAGGCTGCGGGCGGGACACGCCGCGCGGGTCTCTCCTGGCGACCCCGGAGCCGGTCGTTCTTAGTGTCCTCTCCGCCCTCACTGAACGCTGTCACGGCCACCTCCAGATTCCCGGCTCCGGGAGGAGGACACCTCGCTGGGGTGCGTGGTCTTGGCTGGACCTGCCCCAGGCGGGGCGAGCCGGCGAGACGTGGGGAGGCCGGCCCCGGGGAGCGCGCTCCTGGCCGGTGTTCCGTTAGGAAGAGGCCGGTGGGGAGGACGGCCTCCCTGCGTGGGCTGGGGAAGCTGGGCTGAACCCCTCCGTGGCTCTCCACTTCTCCCTCCTCTGGATAAAAATATACTTGGAAAGAAAAGAAACGTTTGAAGCAAACGCCAAGAAGAGGAGTGGACCTTCGGCCCCTGTCCCGCCCATCACCGGCGGAAAGTCTGCTCACTCAGTCTTTTCTCCTCCCCGTCCTCATGAGCACCCGAACGTTCACATGTTTAATGTTTCCGTTGCATTTTTTGGAAAGACTCACATTTCAAACTACCCTCCGAGGGCAATGTTGTGGTTCAGAACACAGAATCGGCACAGGTCAGAGCAGTCTGTCCCCAGCGAGGGCCTGGCAATGGAGTTCAACCTCTTCCCAGCCCGCTTGCCCGGGTCGTGCTGGGCGGTGCTAGAAGCCCGTCCGTGTACGGCTTTTGGGTCGGTACCTTCTGTTAGGCTTTTACCCCAAAGACTTGGCTACCTTGATGAAAACGAATCCTTAATTTAGTGTCGTATTGGCTTTTCTCATTTTTACTAATAATTCTCCTTTCCCCCAAACCCTCACAATGGCCATGATAGCTTTGAAAAGTCTCTTAGTTTAAAGTAAAACCATATCCCTGAGTCAGTGACGACTTTAGGGTTAGAACAGCAGCCTGTTCCTGGAGCCCAGGGCCCCATGACCCCTCCCTCCGAGACGCTCCACGTTGTCCCGCACTTTGAATAATTCCGTAGAACCCCAAACTCACTGTGGAATGAGTAGTAAATGGTCTTATAGGAGGCAACTTAAAATTCAAGAATTATAAATAACACGCGTGGACCGGATCGAAGAGTGATAGAGGAACCCTCTGAACCTGGAATCTGTTGTTTATGCTGAAACTTGGAACTGAGAGCCGCTGTGGCGGGGGGTATTCTAGATTGTGCATCCTATTGGGCAGCATTCGTATCCCCATCTTCCTGGGAGAGAGATGAAGTATAAGCGATGTCTGTGACAGCTCAGAAAAGAGCTCTTTAGCTCCTCCTGCTGATTATGAGTCCACTAAGCAATGTCCTGGAGGTTCCCTCCCTGCCCCCAGGAGGCAATGCAGCTAGTGTCTATCCTAAAACCGCACAAAAGAGGTGCTTCAGATCAACGCGAAGAAGTGGAACGTAAAACCTAAGACGGTGGAGCCCTGGCCAGTTTGGCTCCGTGCGTAGTGTCGCCTGCGGACTGAAGGGTCCTGCATTCGATTCCCGTCAAGGGCACATGCCTTGGTTGCGGGCTCCTCCCCAGCCCAGGGCCCTGGCCAGGGCTCATGCAGGAGGCAACCAATCAATGTTTCTCTCACATTCATGTTTCTCTCTGTCTTTCCCTCTCTCTTCCACTCTCCCTAAAAATCAATGGGGAAATATCCTGGGGTGAGGATTAAAAACAAAACAAAAAGAAAACCCTAAGACATCGGAGGCCCCAGCACAAGTGTGTCCTACAACTGAATATGGACAATGAACTCAGGTGTACGGCACCTCATTTAACTCAGGTGAGCCTGCAGCGCCACCTCTCAAACGCGCGGAGCAGAGGTGGGGGTAGGCGTTCAGGAATCCTCTCCTTCATTGAGCATCACGTGCTGGGCTTCCTGGAGACACTGGCGAGGCCTGTGCCTGCCTGGCTATGAGCTCACCATCCACTCCTTCCCTTCACCCGCCGGGGCCCAGCTGCCAGGCCGGAGCAAGGCCCGCAATGCAGCTGGGAGGGCGAGCAGCGAGCGGAGCTGTCACGCAAAAGCCAGTGCGGGAGGGCGGTGCTTCCTGGCAGAGGTGGGCGGGACCAGCTTTGACAGCAGAGCGCCCTTCCACAGCCTGGGAGAGAGCGGAGGGAGGCTCTGCCAGCAAAGGCTCAGGCGGAGGGGACGAAGGCAGCAGGGAGCTGCGGCTGGGGCAGGAGCTGGCCGGACGGGGAGTCTGGCTGCAGGAGCCGCAGCTGCAGGCGGGGCCGCGTGGCCACCCCACGGCCTGTGGGCTCCTCCGGCAAGAGCACAGCTGGCGGGGGCAGGCCTGCAGCGGTGACACGCTGTGTAAACACGTTTTACACAAACCGCACACTCACTGAGGATCCGTGTGGGGAAGAGGAGGAAGGCCTGGACTCGGCGTTGGGGCCTGGGTCCCATGAGTCTCTCCATGTGACAGACAGCCCTGGGGAAGTCACAAGAAACCGCAGCGCCTCAGTTTCCTCATCTGGAAAACAGCGGCCGGTGCGCTGGCCGGAGGGCCTGGCGGAGGCCACACAGCATCTCCACTTTGCCCGCCCCGAGGGGCCGTCTGTCCGGGGGTTGGGCCTCTTTCTAGAACCCTCAGCTCTGGGAAAGTAGCCAGCTCTGTGCGCCTTCCCGGGGCATGCCTCCTGACGGATTCGGAAGCCTTGCCTGGTGTCCCTCTGGAGGACCGCCTTCCTGCCCTGGAGATTGACACCTGGACTCGCCCTGCAGTTGGCAGGCGTGTTAAGCCATGTTAAGCCATGCCACCCACATGTCATCACACGAAGAGGTGAGGTGTTGGGACCAAGAGTCAGACCCAGGCTCTGCATGGCCAGTCCGGAGCCCTGAGGGGCCGGGTCTGGGGACCGTCCAGCATGGGGCGGTCCGGACCTTATCCGAGGCCAGGCTCCAGGCAGGGGTTCCTTGGACCCCTTTGCTCCCTGCCCTCTGCAGGCCAGTCCCAGTGCAGGGCGCCTGCCAGCCATGGCCGGGACAGGGTCTTTCTCCAGATGTACCTGAAGAGGACCCCTCCCTGACCAGTGGCTTCCTCCTGCCAGCCCCTCCCGCCCCTTCCCGGCCCCGGGGGCGGCTGCAAGGCCCTGGGTGTCCAGAGAGTGAAGGCCGTGACCACGGCGCCCTCGCGTGGTGGCAGGCGGGAGCTGCCGGCGGCTGTGCCCTCCCGCCCTCACCCACAGTCCCAGGATTGTGCCCCAAGAAAGCCTCCAGCTCCCAGGACCCCGGGCCCGGCAGCCTGGGCTCTCTTTCTTCCAGAAGCCCTAGGAGAGCTAAATAAAGGAATCCTGAAAATGGTTCCTGACAGTATGCGCCTCACTGGAGGCAGAAAACACAACTTCTATGCCAAAACCGGTTTGGCTCAGTGGCTAGCAGGCGTCTTCAAACTACGGCCACATGCGGCCCGCAGAGGAGTCTGATCCGGCCCGCCAGGTTTTTTGGGCAGTGAGCGCAGCCGAGGTGTTACAGTAGGAATTAGTATTTCATATAGTCTGGCCCTCCAGCTCTCTGAAGGACCGTGATCTGGCCCCCACTTTAAAAAGTTTGAGGACGCCTGAAGCATCGGCCTGAGGACCAAAGGATCCCAGGTTCGATTCTGGTCAAGGGCATGTACCTTGGTTGCGGGTACATCCCCAGTAGGGGGTGTGCAGGAGGCAGCTGGTCAATGTTTCTCTCTCATCGATGTTTCTAGCTCTCTATCCCTCTCCCTTCCTCTCTGAAAAAAATCAATAAAATATTAAATAAATAAAAAAACAACAACTTCTAAATCCTGCAGAGAAGCAAATGCCCCCTTTCTCCTCTCTCAGAGGATGAGCACCATTCCGGCGGGAGTCATCCTGGTCTCAGCAGCTCCTCCGGGGGGGGGGGGGGGGCTCCGGGTGTAGGGGCAGGGGCTGGGCCACCAGGTGTGGGGGCAGGGGCTGGGCCACCAGGTGTGGGGGCAGGGGCTGGGCCACCAGGTGTGGGGGCAGGGGAGGGAATCCTCACTCTTTTTTAGGTAACATGCATTTGTTAACTTTACCGGAGAATAGTCAGAAACATGATTTCTTTGTGTGTGACAGAAGGGAAACATTTAGAAGTGTAGACTAGTACTGAGAAATGTGTGTTCACTATTGAATGCTGAAGAGTTTTCATTTTTAGTACAAGTTTAATCATTCGCTTGACAGTGAGACAATAATAAACAATTATATCTATTATTTTTGATACCAAAATGAACAATGAGAGAAACATTTCACTCTTGCAAGGAAGATCTGACTCCGTATGGTCACGCTTGGA